AGGGAGATACCCATGAAACGACGTGTTGGACGCCGGCCTGATTCACGATGCCCGATCAACCACGAACACACAGCCTCGTTAATAACGCCTGTACAATCGACATAGATCGTCGATTAGGCACGCGGAGGCTTCGTTTAATCGCTAATTAACTCGAGATTCATCGGTTTTGTCGAATTCATCGCTCGTTCCTATCTCGATCGTGCCTTTAACGATCCGGATCGAATGGTTTTTCCGAATTGGTTCGAATAACGCGATGATTTTGTGAATTAGTTATCGGGATGGAATTTAAAATTAGGATACTACGATGATATTAGAGGAAAAGTACATGAAATGTAGATCAATTGATTAAAAAATTCTATGGAAAAATACACTGTTTGCAGGATTCCGTTTAAAATAATTTAGAACGATGTGTCAATTAATTTGAAATTTTATTGAAAAAATAAATGATTATCTATAAAGAGATACGTCTCACCGATTTCGATAATTTTCAAAGATCAATAGCCGAATCACTTCGTTCATAATATAATAAAATGTAATATAGTAAAAAAACTATATACAGAATGTTAATATATTCACGAGACGCTTTTTCCAGAGAAAGAAACGAAACACAAAAATCTATTTAAAGTCTACTTATCATAACTAGCAATTAATTAACCAACATGTTTGTATACCAATTTTTAAAAATTATTTTTCATATTCGAATAATTTAATTCTTTCGCCCTGACAAGTTTTCCTTATAACTCAAATAACAATTTGTACATGTTCCATCTTGTACAGTTGATTCTATTAATAAAATCATACGATATTCTCCAAAATCTCAATGTTCGAATTTTATTCAAGACAAATAATCAAAGGCTTCTCGATAATTATGCATAAGCTCAAAGTGACGTTAACGAGCCTCGCGACACGTGTCTCTTGTTGTACGAACGCGTGCACATTTTTGACGAAAGAAAAGCGACAAAGAGGCGCGAAAGAAGAAAGAAGAGGCTCGTTCGCGATCCAAGCCACACCCTTTACCTTAGTCTTTTTGTACAGACGAACTATTTTAATCCCGTTTCGTAGCATCTGGTGTTCAAACTACCGACACGTCGTCAATGACCTCGTTAGACGAAGCTAGACGCAATCCAGATTTCGTCTACCTAGGATTACGAACGGCTTGAAAAGACACGACCGAGTTTAACCTGTTTCCCCTAGTTTCGTTCCCCCAGTACATATGTTAACGCGTTGGTTAAACATATCCTATCTGCTATTTATATTATAGCGAATTTAAATAGAATTAATTGGAATTAATTACGCGGAGGAGAAAGATTTTGATCATTATTATTAAACAAATAATTGTTCCATTAAAACTGTTGGCGTTTCTTACACTTCTCGGTTCAAAGTTTATAAAAAAAATGAACATTCAAAATTATATCTAAAAATGCATATTTAATTTAAAAATTGATCTGATCGGTATCACACAACGCGTACAATAATCGTTATCTATAAATATTCTATTTCAAGCGCTTTTAAAACGCGCGACGCCCATTAACCGTATCCCATTCTTATTTCCTTCGTTTATCGACAAACCACGCAAATGACGGGAATGAAATCGAGCGAGCAACACCGTTATCGAAAACCAGTCGACGATGTTGTACACGGCTCGCTTATTAATGAATTCAATAAACCGTTTTCCACGCGGTGAATAAAAGGAGAAACGAAAACGGTGAAAAGGTAACAGGGATGATTGGATAAACATGGCCCGTCGATAACTAATAATAACGTTTTAATTCCCTCGACCGAGCATCGCCGATTCTCGCCGCGGGATCGAAGAAATCGCGAAACGAATTTTCAACGTCGAATATATATACGAATAATAACGAAGGTGTGTAACGAATCGATCCCGACCGAGACCAATTAAACGGACGCCACGCTGTTGAACAGGGAGTTATTTAAACGGTCACGGAGAAATTACGGGGACGCGAATGGATTTATAGCGATTGTTCGGCAACATCAAAAGAAACGTAAATCTGTCCAGCCTGTTGTGTACGTGGCGGTTGCGTGCATCGCGATCCACCTTCACGGTTTTTAGCGCTCGACGTTTTAACCCACCCTCCCCTGTCCGCGATACGGCAATTAGAAGATGTGTGCATACATACACGTTGCGCATCTCTCCCTCTTTCCATCAGGAGGAGGAGGAGGAGGAGGAGGATATCGGTCGCGAGGGGAGGCAGTCACGCGGTTGTCGGCGAGAAGGGGTTGCAAGGATGGTCGAAAACTATACTCGTACATCATCCGGGGGTAGCACGGGTCAAGAGTGACTTAGCTGTTCTAGCCCTCTAGTGGAACAACCTCGGTAATCTTCAAGATCCACGATCTTTTTCAACTCCCGGTCCTGAAAGTTTCCACATATTTTAATACGTTTGGCCGCACCTGGTCGCGAAACAACGAAACGGGAGATTCGTGATAGAATTTAAGGGAGAGAAGTAGATAAAATCTGTATTGTTTGTATATACGTTTGTCGCGGGATTAATGGGATTATTTGTGAGCGGTCAGCGTTGCGATTTAATTGATATTGCACGTTCAATTAGCGTTGCTATTGCTTTTTACGGGGGGAAAAAATGGGAATTATGATTTCGATAAGCGTCTTACAGATGGATTCGAGGATTTAAATACGGGTAAATTATGAGACGTTAAGCCGGTTTTGTTTGTGCAGAATCGCGATATCGAAGGTTTTATACTTTGGTAAATCATCAGAATCTAGCTACAAAGAAATTTAAAGAAATTAAAATCATTATATTTGAATATTTTTCACACTGTTTCTATTCTATCCTCTCAATATCCATTTAAGAATTTAATTATAGAAACTTATATTAAAATCTCGTGTCATTATCTAACTTGGTTTCGAAGAAGAAATTTGTAATTTGTATATAATTGCGATAAGAAATTTATTTCCCATTTTCGTTCCCATTGACGTGCATAATCGTGTACAGTGTACGACGATGAATCACGATAGATTCAGGTACAATTACAATACCCGCATGGTTTTAATTATAACATTAATAGCAACGGATGTCGTGAATATATTAATATTTCTCGTTAATCATACCGGCGTATGGTCAGATCAGATTTCCCCGAGATTCGCATACAATTACAAAATCTATGGGTTTACGCATACTCGCGTCGAGACAGTATATTTAATCATGGTAATGTGAACTGAGCTGAATTTCATGCGGAAAAATGGTCTCGTTGTATATAGGAGACGACAAACGCATGATGAAATTAACAGTTAAAGAGCATTAAACGAAACAGGATGAAATAAGAGCAGAGGAGTTTTTTTAAATGAGAACGCAGCCTGACTTTTCATATTAAAAATTAAAAATTATTCCTTGCTTGGAAATTGATAATATATTAGATCTCGATCATCTTGTCGAATAGATTGATAATTATTTCTAAGAATTTTTAGAAAATTTCATTCGTTAATTTTTGAAATTAAAAAATTAAGCTCTAGAAATACCTTTAAACAAGGAAAGTTTGTACATTTTTATAATTTGCTTCAAAACAAAATTCGAATAAATCAAATTGAATCGTTTAAAAACCGAAATAAAAATATTATCTATTAATTACTAAGGTTTACATTTCATTCAGAAAAAATTGTTGCGATAAAAATACCAAATTTCCAGGGGCAAATAGCTCGTGCTCGGGTCAACGATTTTGTCAGAAGAGAAACTTTTACTCCGAGCACCGTGCTCCGAGATGTACCACAGGGTAAATACAATTTCCTTGAGGAAATACTTGAAAAAAATCAGCAACGGTGAACTACCGCGAAATTCTAAAGCACACCTTCGAAACTTTATGAACGATATTGATGCAGCCGCGTTGCAAATTGCATCTTCAGCAAGACGCACGAGCTTCGATAAAGTAGAAATACTTTTGTCGAAGAAAACTTCGCGAGATATCTGCTGCGAAGCTTTTCGAAATTTTAAGCTTTTCACAACAGTTGCCATAGATAGAAGGAATAAGAAGTTAACGTAAGAATCGCGATGAAATGACGCTTTGTAAATTTCGTAGCTATTAAAAAAATCATCGAAAATTTTTCAGTATTATATAAACCGATTGTTTCCATTGCTTTTCTTGAAACGAACAGAAATTAAAATAGGAAATACGTCTATTTCATTCCATTCGTTTAAAATATAAATTCAATATATCGCGATGATTCATGATTCGAAAATTATATCTATATTTTTATCTATGCGAATCTACGAGCCGCTTGTTGCGTAACGTTGCTCTTTACAGACGAAGAGTTAAGGAATAAGGGATTCGTGTCACGTTGCTCGAAGGGGTTACACGCTTTCCTCAGAAATTAATGCATCTGCGGAGCGTAAGCGAGCCGTAGCATAGAGTTACGAAGTTGGTATTGCCAATACAAAGCACACTCGGCACAGTTACCAAGCTTCAACGCGAAACTGTTGTCAAAACAAAATGATATTCTAGTTTGTAATAACATCAACATACATGTTTGTTTAACCATATAAGCATATAATATACTGTCACTTCATCTTATCCTTCCCCTTCCATTAACATTTCTATAGATTAGTTATATACATTTCGAATACAACTTTAAAAAGTTAAGGATAAGAAGACGTTTCATGAGATTTAATACGTACTTGTACTAAAGATTATTCCTATCTTTTTATAATTGAAGTATATAGTATATGATTGTACTATATTCAAATCAAAATTCGATTATAATTATTTTGAGAAAATATTTTTCTGCAATAATAACGCGACAAAAATTTATAAGTTTTGAGTCATTGATAATAAAAAAAAATTGTCTTTTTTGTATTTTTTACCGATAGAATTGCCTAAATTAAAATTAAGAAATCAGATCCTATAATATCACAGAAAATTTAGTATAAAATTTTTCCTATAATTAAGATTTTTAAGTAAGTAATTTGAATATCAGATAAGGTAATTTATGAAAATTTCAATTATAACTCGACAATATATCCAAAAATCGATTTAAAATATTTAAAAATAAATAAATAAATAAATAAACTACCTTAAAAGTTCTAAAACTGATAAAATTTCTCAATAACTATAATCAGCAACAATACCCCGATAAACTTAATAGTCTTAAATATTCTTTTTGCATCCCTTTCTTTGGTGGGGAGGCAAGAAATCGGAGTTTTAATTTCCAATAAATCGTCCGGTAAATGGTATCTCCACGAACTGAATTCGCAGAGAAAACTGGAAAAGAAGACACGGAATAAGAAAAGCACAAAAAGGGGGTCGGAATCGGAGAGGGAGTAAAAATTAGAGAAATTCGCGGATGAAAGTTCGGTTGGGATGCGGTTTGTCATTCGGGATATAAGAAGTAGGCCGCGTTATTTTCTAAGGTTGGTTGAAAAAGAGGTCGAAGGAAGGAACGTCCGAGCTTTTCGTGGGTATAAGAGGGAGACGATACAATGGATAGAGGCTGAGGAGCACGGTTGTTCGGCATTAAGGTTGGCGAAGCTGCAGCCAGCTAGTCGTGGCTACGATTGTCTTAAATTTAAATAATCACGGGAAAATGTTAATGCCCTACGCGCCGTAATTCAATGATAAAACAAAAGAAAGAAACGTGGTGCAGCCCAGTTGGAGTATTCGCTCGAAATGGGCGGGACAAGGGGTGGGGTGCAAGGATCAGAGAGGAAGGATAAGGTGAGTAGTTAAGAACTAAGTAGCAGGGGTGCTATGCTTCTAACGCGGTGTGGAGGTAAATTGAATTAACAAAGAAAAGGTGGAAGATTTAAGGCTAAGGATATGTCTCTGTCTTAAAAGATATTGCCCAACTTTATGTTTTATTTTTCGATGTTCAACTGCGTCCAACTTTTTTCTTTCGTTCGTTGGATCTGAAAGGTTTTATTTGTGGAATGATGAATTTAACAATAGTTTATGGTGTCTATTTCATAGAAAAATTTCACTTCGAACGAAAACGAGATTTAAATTTCACAGAAATGTTTGTGGAAAAAGTAGCTAATGTAATGGTCGTTGAAATTTGTGGAGACGAATGGATAGAACGATCGATTGTTGCGTATCGTTTCGGTCGATCAATGAAAATGAGATCGTTTAACCTAGTATGAGAATGTACATAGCCTTTTTCTTTCTTTTTTTTTATCGTCTGAATGTTATTTAATTAAATTTCACATCAAGTTAAAAATGAAATCTTCAAGAATTCGTTATTAATTATATTTCTTGTTAAAAAGATGTATCTTGAATTTTTAGAATTTTTTTTTTATAATTGTTATATTCGTTGTGTAATTCACTCTTATAAATTATAAGATATTATAAGATACTTTATATAAAAACAGAAATTATTAAAAGGATATAATTATAATTTGTCACATCTCTCATATTTACAAATTTCTAATTTATATCCTCTTCTTAATTTCCCATGAGTTTTTTTTACTAATTATAACACGAAGCTGATTCTCATTCGTCGTAAAACAAACTAATTTAAGTTTACATTATGAACAAAGTTACATCTGATAAAAATCATGCTACTCTAATTATACTTATACATACATATGTATAGTAAAATATTATGCATTATACAAATTTATTTCATATAAATTATCTATAATATCTTTAATTACTGTATTAAAAATATTAGAAATAATTTTTATCAGATATTAAAAAAAAATAAAAAAATCTTTTATATTGAAAAAGTAAAAAAAGATTCTTTTGTTTCATTATATTTTTATAAATATAAATTATTTCTTTTTAAACTATCTATTTCTCTCTTTTGTGATCTTTATTTATCTATTTTTTTTTTTTTTTTTTACTGAAATAGTATGATTTTAACTGCAAGGATTGCAAGATCTATTGATTTAGTTCGAAATACAAATAAAAAATCATAAATTTTACGAATGCAATTCCAATTTCCATCGTATACAATTAATGTGATTGAAACTTCGTTTGCTAACGAAACAATTACATCTACGACCATCTGATAGTTTGTAACTTTTTCGTCATTTCTGGAATTTCCGAAAGAGTGAATCGGAATGTATTGCCGATACGAAACGCATCGATCGATCGTTTTGATCTTCTGAAAGTAATGAAAACTAGTTTTTTCATTGAAATTGGAAACGAGAAAATAGTTTTTTTTTTAATAACAATTTTAATCCAATTTTATTTGAAATTTACACTATTGTATATTTTTTTAAAAAAACGTGAAAAAGTCTTTAAAATAATTTTTTGGAAAATAATAAATTAAACCTAAATTGTCTCAAATATTATTTTATTGGAAGCACTTGATCAAAATCTAATATGAATTATATTATTAAAATTTAATTGATTAATTATATAAAATAAACAAGTATATTAAAATCTGTTTGAATAATACTGAGTAGTATTATCCAAATAGATTTAAATTTATTTGTTAAAATAAGTATAATTTCTAATATGATAATTTCTAGGAAAAGATATCGAATGTCTATAATTTTTTCATTATTCAATCAATATTATACGCGATAATCTACATTAGTTAATCTTAACACAAAATAAGATGATTATATGATTTATCTATTCCAACCCTCTCATCATTTATCTAATCGTTTCCTAATAAATATAAAATTTTTTAAATATATTCAATTAGAATGTATTCACTCGACAATTAGAAAATTTCTCACGATTTTCACGATTTAAACATCTAATCCTGTTTTCACAACTTCCTCAAAAATATTTACTAAATTTTCCAATTAACTTATACATCGTAAAAGCCAAACGCTTTCCTCATAAAATATCGATTAATTAAACTTTTCACCATTTCTCTAAAAGATACGAGTAAATCCATTCCCAGCGAAAAAAAGGCATATAAGAGAAACGAGTATTAAGTACAGTAGAATTATCGGATCCTATCTAAGGAGGGGTAAAAGTGTGTTCTCATTTAATCCTTTCTAAAAAAAAAAAATATATTACACAATTACGAAATCACCGAATTTCTAATCGGATGTAACACGACCTGTTTTCAACCTGTATCGATAAGCTCGATTCTTTCGTGTGCATCTTCCCATCGACGATGCTCGAAACCGCGTCCCTACTAATACTCGGCAACTGTTGTCGAAGGAGATGCGAACAGAGGGGAGGTGAGAAAAGTTTTCAGCCAGGATAAACGGAGGATTTTGCGATAGGAGCACGGTTCTATATCGTAAGGGGAAAACGGGCGTCGAAGAAGTACTCTCGGAGATATAAGGGCATATGTTCTGGCGTTGTTGTCACGATACTCGAAATCGGTTCAAGTTTTATCCAACTGGGCCAAAAGTTGATACGAGAAAAACATTTCCCACCAATTTTTCGATATCTGTATATATCTCGCGTTATATTTATATATTTATCGAGATATTAAACATTCATAAATAACTTTGTAATTGTAATCGTAATTATAACATATTGTCTTATAATTGTAAATAATTGTAAAATATTACAATTATATTGCAATTATATTGTATTTTGTTTTCACTATTTGAAGGATTTCAATTATTTTATAATAGTGAAAACTAAAATTAAATTAGAATTAATTTAAAATAAATTAAAAAAATTAGATTAAAATTAGATATCGAAAAATTAGATTAAGATGTATTTTATGCTATTTAACATGTTGTAATCTAAGAACGTATCTAATGAGATTGAATCATTCATAAAAATTGAATGATTCATCATACGAAATAAAAATTGAACTGAAACAAGAATATTATCCATCACCTTAATAAATTTTCTATTTTTCCATGCATACGTAAGGAATTAGTTCATATTATTTTTTATAAATATAATTATATCATTTATATTTATTATATATATAATGATATAATTATATATTATATATTAAACAAAAACTATTTCTTAAATTTTACTGTTTGCTACAAATTGGAAATATATAATAACTACAATGCCACATGCACTCTTCTTTTACGAAAAATTTACTTTCAAATAAATTTTCAAAAAAGAAAATTTATTTGGAAATAACTTCAAATCTGATTGTTATATAAACAATAAAAGAAATTATAAAGAAGCAAATAGGAAGGTAAAGCGAATACTAATTCCTATCAATATTTTACATTTTCATCATCATGAAAATTAAAAGTTTTTGATAAATAGCATAAAATACATAAAATTAGCAAAATAAATATTTGAATTATTTCAAAACGTCCCACTACTTTTTGTGTTACATTTATTTTCTATTTATCTATATTATTTTATTTATTTAATTAATATCTATGAACACACATTAATATGCATGCATGTATTAAATTACAAATATATTTAATTCCATCAATGTTAAGTATATTTTAATCTTGTATTGATACTGCTATTCTACAACACACAAGCTTTACAAAATTCAATTAAAAAATCTATAATATAAAAATTTAATTTCTTCAAAAACTACCTAACTCTATCTGTCAGAAATCTGAATATAATAATAAAAGCTAATTATAATAAATATCTACACAAAAGAATTATTAAACTTCAAAGGACATATGACTTTTTACTACAAAATACTATTCAATTAAATTCATGTCATTATTTATTTAAATATTCATATTGAGTATTTGTAAATGCATATTCATCTAATTATATACACTTACAAATTAATATATTGAATATACTTTGATTTTATGAACTACTTATTAAATTATATCATTTAAATCTCTAATATTATACATAAATAATATAAAATTTTTATAATATATCTATTAACCATTATAAAGTTAACCATTTTTATTATCTTCCTTATTCTATTGATGACTCTAATATGCATTCGAAACGAATAATTGAGAGTCCGGAAAAAACATATATGTGACTCACCATTAGATGTGAATTTGCTATTGATATTGCTATTGATATTCCATGAAAATTATTGCACAACCATTATGAATTAAGAAGCGAGAACTACTAAAAAATGGAATATCATATAATTATAATAATATATAATTATATAATTTAAAATAAATTATATATATATGAAATATATATATATATTTGAAACGAATAATTAAAAAAAAATAAATAAATAAAAGACTAATAACGCGTTTGTTAAACTATAATTAAAACAAACATCTAATCTAAATTCATGAATAGTTATTCTATTTAATTAGAGCTATTATACTGTAAAATATACTATATAAATTATTTAAAGTATTATTACAAAGCAAACACTCAATCTACCAATCTAAAATCTACGCATTGCGCGCGATTAAATTTTCTGAAAAAAAGTTGCATTAGCAGAAAAGGGGGTTAATAAAAAAGTAAAATATTTTTTTATTATTTTTTTTCTTCTATCAAATATTTATTAAAAAAAATTTCTATTTTTATAGACCTATGAATTAGAACTAGATGCTGCAAAAATAAATTTAATTTATTTAGAATAAAAAATATAACCCAATATATCTAAAATAATAATATAATTTGTTTAATCTTTTTTAATTATCTAATCTCTTCTTTTACTGTAGTATTTTTAATAATTAATATCTTGAATTTACTATTCTATATACTAACTTCTTTTTATTATATATTAACAAGTAATAAAAAAAACCTACTGATTTTTAATATAAAAAATAAAATATTACTAACTCTTTAATTATTATTAAAATGCGGATATTAATGTTAAAATTCCTTTTCCCTATTTTGTAGGTTATCTTAATATTCAAATATTAATTTGCATAAAAAAAATCAAATTTTTAATATAAATATATATAATATACGAAATTAGAATTCTATTGAAACAATGCAATATTAATCTCATTTTAAAAACCAATATCTTTGCTAATAACTAACAGTAAAATAGGTTACAAAGAAAATTTAATAAATTGTTTCGCAAAAATAATATTAATTATAATAAATCAATAAATAATTCCATAAATGTAATAAATAAATAATAGTAAAGAAAAATAAACAATAAGAAAACAATAATTACAAAAATTATATATAATATAATAAATTAGTCACATACCTGAAAGCGAAACGAAGCCACCAAACAGCACGACATTCGACAGCAAAATGGCAGCTCGTGGCACGATTTCGTTTATCGAATTGGATTAAGGAGATTATATGCTCAAAGTTTGATAACAATTCGAAACATCGAACGTAATAAGAAATCACTCATTTCCTGGAAAGATTATAAATATTTTTCGCTTTCAACATATAGCAAAACAAAAATAATACAGCATCAATTTCTAGGAAAGCACAATTATAAGAAACGTTCCTAACTCGAGCCAATATGAAAACAAAAACAATACGCATGAATAGACGTGTCTAAAAAATATTTGTACGAATGAAATATGAAAATGATTTATTATAATTATTTCTATTTCCATTCGAATAAGAAAGAAATTTATAATTATTATATATTTTATATATATTTTTTATTAAAAACCTTACCACATTTATATGAACGCGAAATATTCATAACCTATTGCACCTTTCACGCCATTCACCTTCCAATAATCAAGCAATCTGCACAATTAAAAATTATTTTAGAACAATAAAACAATTATAATATAATAAAATTAAAATAATATTAAAATAATGTGATAAAATATAATATTCAAATCCAATTATAAATGTTTGTAATATGAACAATCGATTATTGAAATTATCAAATATGTTAGCAATGACTAATGACAAAAACGTTTAAAAGACAATTTAATTTTGATATAATATTTCACAAATGCTTAAATACACTAATTAAAAGAAAGCACTAACAATATAAAAATTATACTACACCAAATTCACGTAATTAAATATGATAAAATGAGGCGCAATTCTCCTTGGCAGTAGACTGACGCCATGACGCAACTGATTCCCCACTAGATCTTACAAGCTTCCTGATTGGCTGGAGTGATCTATCTAATTTACTTCAGCTGTGTTGAAAATGTGTGAAAATGTGTGAAAATTTGAGTAAATAATATATCTCAATTGTAAATTTATATAATTTTTATAATAAAACGACAATTAAAAATATGATAATCAAATACATATTAATTAAATAAGAGTATTAATAGTACACAAATTATACTACAATATCAAATACCACAAAATTATATATCTACAATTTTTTACGAAACGACACCTACTTTTCCTACGATTCCTGACAACAGGCTTCAGGCCATTAATTTTTCTTACCATTAAATACTAGAAGCTTTCTGATTGACTAGAATAACCTATCCTATTCAAATCGACTGCCTAAAAATTATACAATTTATTTCTAAATTCTTATAACTCTCACAATGATCCACCGATTAAAAATATAATAATAACACGCGTGTTAATTAAACAAGAGTATTATAAGTACACAAATTATACTATAATATCATATTCCACAAAATTATATACCTACAATGAGACGACACGTACTTTCTCTACGATTCCTGACAGTAGACTGACGTCACGCAATTAATTTTTCTTACCGTTAAATACTAGAAGCTCTCTGATTGGCTAGAATCACCTACCCTATTCAAATCGACTACCTAAAAATTATACAATTTATTTCTAAATTTTTATAACTCTCACAATGATTTACCGATTAAAAATATAATAATAATACGCATGTTAATTAAACAAGAGTATTATTAGTACATAAATTATACTACAATATCAAAATATCACAAAATTATATATCTATAATGAGACGATACGTACTTTTCTTGTGATTTCTGACAGTAGACTCATA